CCTAGTTCTGTTCAATCAGTCATTCAAAAAAAAAAAAAAAAACCAAGCCCAGGAGTGCATGACGTTTCCCTTTTGAGCGGTCTCTAGTTCAAACGCGTGCGCTCAAGTACCCATCCAGGTCGGACTCGTGAAAGCATGGCAACCGAGTGGTCAGGAAAGGTGAAATAATGGCTGGGTCCCACTTCAATAATGATTTAACACAATATTATTATTTTGCAATAAAATTGTGAGCAAGCCATTTGTAGTCAGGGACGAATGACTTTTTTTTTTATTTGCATAAAAGGAAACATTCATTAAATACACGAACAATCCAGTCTGAAAGTCGCACAACAATTGTTAATATTTTAGTACACTACTCAAAGAAAAGACTGACAGCAACATAGTCAACTGTATGATTCAACTGCAGTGGGTATCTAGTACAGATTATCAGTTATTCTCTGTGAGCGTCCCACACTTGGTACTCATGCTTGGGTTAAAGCTGTGACTAGTTGAAGTACCTGCCACGTTGAAGGGGAAGAAAGAACTGTGACAGCTCAGCAGTGAAGTTTAGTACAAGTGGAGAAAGATGTTTAAATAAGTGTTTCATTGGATGTATTGGGTGACATTTTATTTCATGTTTCTAAATTTAGTGGGTTTTTTTAAACTTAATTTTTACATTTCTTTTTTTTTTAAATTCTTTCAACGCGGCTTATCTAAGCACTTTGAATCTTCACACACACACAAAAAAAAAAGAAGTAATACCGGTAAATATACATCACTGCTGTGTCTATGCTTTTAAAGCTACTGTCCAACAACGAAGGACGAGCCTCAGAAGGAGTGTCAATCACGAGAATGTGTAATCAATTAGGAGATTTCTTCTCTCACCTTGAGGGGCACAGCTTTTAAGCCTGTCAACGTCTGCTAGTTTAGGAGAATGAATGTCAGAGTGTATCTCTGTGGAAATGGGCTGATTAAGAAGACGGGAGTGATAGAACAGAGAGCAGCAGCAGCCAGTGCTAGTTGGCATGGAATGTAGACATTTCTTTTCTGGTTCAATAATAATAAACTCGCATTTAAAAAAAAAATTGAAAACCGCATCATTGTTTATTTAATTAACTGAATTTGCTAATTTTTTTTAAATTGATAGAAGTGTTTCGTTAGGGACAATGAATACTTGTGCAGAGTTTCAATTTGATCCGAGAATGAGAAGTTGCAGAAATAACGTGTTCAAAATGTGTACCAGACAGACAGACAGAGTTGATATATGCTTTGTGAAAAAATAAATGAAGGTTCACTTGACCTTTCCCATGCCATTTCAATCTTAATCAATGTTTTTTATAGACTCGAGAATACAAGGAGCAAATTATAATATTATCATAGAAATAAAGATTTTTTGAAGAAAATGTGTGTTGTTCTTTTTTAGCACTCGGTGTTCTATTACAGTGCGAGGAAATCCAATGTTATACACGATTAGTGTGTTCAAATAATAAGAACTACAGACAATTTATTAGCACAATAGTTTTTTCACGTGTCATAGCTGAAGAGTGGTCTCCAATCCACGCGGCTATTAAAGATACGCTAGTTAATAGAACACATAAATAAGGAAAATTGTCCATACAACGAACTATTGGATTTATTAATTTTTGTTTATTATTGTTCAATTGTTCTAAATAGTGAAACAAAATATATATATTACAAAATATTGACTCTTCCTAAAAAAAAAAAAAAAAAAAAAAAAAAAAGAGAAATATGAATGTAAAAATTGTAATTGATTTGTGAAGGCGAAAATATTTTTGTTCACTGTGAATTGCACAAGTTGACTGTCTTGTGCCAGAATTGCTGGTCGTCTTTAGATAATAGCTAGTTTTTAGTTGGTAATGGGCCTTCGGGAAGACCAAATTGTTAAACTAAAACAATTATTTTAATTGCTATGCTGTAAGGAAAATAGCATTTTAGAATACCTTTTTTTTAGAAAGCATTAAATATGTTTCTTAGAAGATCTTTGTGAAAACCATTAGAATACCTTGGTGGATCTTTGTGGAAGTATTAGAAGAAAGTCTTTGTCAAAGCTAATTGAAGCCGTTAGTGGAAGCTGTCAGAGCACTTTTTTGGAAACAATTAGAAGACCTTTATGGAAGCTATTAGAAGACCTTTGTTATAATCACAAGAAGACCCTTGTTTAAGCTTTTAAAAGACCTTTGTGGAAGCTATTGAAATATATAATTTAAGAACCATTACTGTTTTTTAAAATAAAACGTTTTTCCTATGAGAAGACGTTTCATTAGAATGTTATGAAATCATCGTGCCAATAGCATGAAGATCATCAAGATCCTACACGGATTCATGACCTCACTACGAGGTCGGTGTTATTCAAGCCATCAATATGTCACACCCTGTCACATGGCTGAGTCTCTGGCTCTATTCAACTGCCACATAAAACGCTAATGAAAACCATCACAACATCACTATGGCTAGATTACGTTTTACTGTCAGGGCCTGGTCTGGTCGATATGTCAAAACTGTTGACTATGAACACTGCCAGACACTGGACGTAGTAGTCAATGGGATGGGAGAGGTGGGAGAGGAATGGCTGCATTGGGGGAAAAAAAAAGAGAATGACTGGACGTGGAGACATGGAGACCTCAGAAAGGGGATGGGGGAGTAGGCGTCAGATGGCGGCGCTATTAAAAAGAAAACACTAAGAAAATGGGTATAAGCCTCAGATTTATTTCAGACGGTTGAGCAATGATCCATTTTAAATGGACTATAAAAACAATCCATTACTATAAATCAAATCTAGCTACATGGAACCAAACTTTGCTTGTCGGTGTTTTCCTCCGTGACTTTTTATTTTAGCTGTCATGTACATTTAGTATTGAATGTAAACTACATTGTGTATCATTACAAGAAGTACAGTATAGGTTCTCTCGTTTTGTGGGAGTAGTTACGCTGAGGTGGTCAGTCGTAGTCAAACTGAATCTCCATTTGATTGGGACAATACAAATGATCTTATCTCATCTTATCTTCTACTAAAGAGTTCAGTTGGTTTTTCACCAATATTAGAATAGGATATTGGGCCATCAGATTTCTGAATAAGCAAAATATAAAAAATACTTTACAAAAATAAAAACAAATATTATTTTAGGGGAAGAACTCCACAATTACAACTATATATCTCATTTATGTAGAAGTAATTGCCCTTTTTCGATGAAACAAAATAAATAATTACCAATAATTAATTGACTCATTGGCTTATTTTTAGTTGATTAATGTTTTGTTAGGTATAATAAACAAGTTTCAACTTGATCCGAGAATAGGTGTGGAAGAAATAACGTGGACAATTATCTATGGGGACAAAACCCCAAATATTTAACCATGTCTCTGAATACCGAAGAATTAATTTCCCTTGTCGGTATCAAACGAAATAACTAATTTACCAGAAATTAATTAACTAATAGGTTTACTTTTAAATTAATTTGTGTATTGCCTTCGCCAACAAATAACTGTGGAAAGTTTCAACTTGATGCGAGACTCGGTGTGGGAGAAAAAAAAACCCTGTTCAAATTGTTAACCAGACAGCCAGACAGAATGAGTTGATATAAGCTTAGTAAATATACCAAGACTTATTAACCCCTCGAACCCACTATATTGACTCTAACCATACCACAACATCGCTCGGTGTTCTCTAGTGTAGTCCACTTTGCAAGACCTGACGTGTGAGACCGGGACAGAACTACCTAATAAGTATTTTCGTGCTGCCTATAGCCGCAAAAGAAACGCAAAAAATATCTAGTTAATGTACGAGCTTATATTCTTATTGAGATTCATACAGCAGATAGTCAGTTGGGCAGCCTATGTTTAACACCACTTAGTCGCTACAAAAAAAAAAAAAATAAATATAACCGTCTTCCAAAGTCCGTTTGACAGAAACAACGCTTCAAGACACTGATAGCAATAAGTAACACTATTCCAAGATTATTAAACAATCATTCAAAGCTTTTAAGTCTCCAGCCTTCACCGCCCCCTTTTGTTTCGTTATCATTTTTTTTTTATGAATTGAACTAGAAATGTATAGCAGTTCACTATGCACACACACTCACGTACAAAAAAATCAAAACAATGAAAAATAAAATACAAACTTTTGTTTCTTAGTTGACAGTTGTAGCTACAAGAGCAGCACAAGTGGCGTCACCAGATTCTGCAACATGAGATCATGCAGGACGGGGCCAAGGGAAATTGAGCGTATCAGATTTCAGATGGAAAGGAGGAAAAGAACATGACCGGGAAAAAAAAGGGGGTGGGGGCGTCTTCGTTATTCATGCGCTGATTGGTGCCGTCTGTAACGAGACCTACACAAAAATATAATATGGCAGTTCTGGTGGAGGCGGGGAAGGGGGAAATTTTTTTTAATGGATTTGTGTATGTGTGGGGATGGGGTCATGAACAGGGTGAGCAGGCAGTATAATTACATCCTGGGCTAAGGAGGTTTGAGAGCAAAGATCTGTTACAACAAGAGAAATCCAAATGTATGCGAGATACAAGCTCAAAATATAGCTGCATGTGAAACTGTAGTTCATCGTAGTCTTCCTACTGGCTGACTTTATTGAATAAAAAGAAGATGTACCTCACAGATCAGAAAACCTATTTATTATTGTTTGTTTTGTTAGCTAACATTTCAAACAGGGGTTATATTGAGAGCAACAGTCTTGCAATAAAAAAAAACGAATGGACTTTCCGAAACAAACCAAAATTGTACTAAAAAAAAAGCCAAAAACAAAATTAAAAATGGTTTACTTACTAAAAATGAATAATAATTGACACATAGACACATAATTTCTATTTTTTTTTAAAAGCCCAATCTACTGATGTTAACAACGAAATGCTATCACGTGATTACAACATCTGTCAACTAAGTATTTACAAGTAAGCAGCGGATCAATAAAGATTAGTAGACGTGTTAAAACCATCTTGTATCAAGGTGTTCTCAAACTAGGTTTGGTAAGGAGGTCAGACTACGTGAATGTACAGACACCAACGCCTGTAATGCTAGAACCGGGCACAGTGCCATAAGGAAATTAGTCTCACGATGTGAGCATTACACCAAACAAAACATTACAACTATAGAAAACAAAATATACATTCACACCAGATTCACTTAAAAGTTACACGTGAAATGTTTATATTTGATTCCCAGGGGAACAAAGGAGTATATGTGATCGATATAATGATTCACTAGTTTGTTTTCTGGGATCTTGAATAACTTAATATAGCCTCTCCAGCTTCCCCGAACTTTCGTTTTCAGTTACACAGGAATCAACTTACAACAATTTGTAAACAGGGACATCAATAAGTCAACTGGAAGTGCGATGCATCATTCACAGTTTTCAAATAGAACGTAAAACCTTTGGAAACACTATTTCTCTTGAACAAATGTTTTACGAAGAAAGGAAGGAAAAAAAAAAGGAAATCAAGAGAGCTACACAAGGGAAGAAAACAGACTACAGTCTGTCGAGCAACTAATCCAATATAGTGGGATCTGTAATAAATTTGCAAGAAATGCTTGCAAGGCTTCGATGCTAAAATAGATTCCGTTAATGTCCCTAGAGAGGCTGATGATAATCTATGAATTGGACTTTTTTTTTATACCTGCACATGTATTCTGTCTGGCTAGAAACTTAGTCCGGAAACACTTTTTTTTTTATACCTGCACATGTATTCTGTCTGGCTAGAAACTTAGTCCGGAAACACTTTTTTTTTTATACCTGCACATGTATTCTGTCTGGCTAGAAACTTAGTCCGGAAACACTTTTTTTTTTATACCTGCACATGTATTCTGTCTGGCTAGAAACTTAGTCCGGAAACACTTTTTTTTTATACCTGCACATGTATTCTGTCTGGCTAGAAACTTAGTCCGGAAACACTTTTTTTTTTATACCTGCACATGTATTCTGTCTGGCTAGAAACTTAGTCCGGAAACACTTTTTTTTTTATACCTGCACATGTATTCTGTCTGGCTAGAAACTTAGTCCGGAAACACTTTTTTTTTATACCTGCACATGTATTCTGTCTGGCTAGAAACTTAGTCCGGAAACACTTTTTTTTTTATACCTGCACATGTATTCTGTCTGGCTAGAAACTTAGTCCGGAAACACTTTTTTTTTTATACCTGCAGCTACTGACAATATTGCCGGTCATGTATTTTTCCCCCTTGGTGGGTTTTTGTATATATATATATTCTTAGTGTGTTTATTTATTACCGCTCCAAGACAATGCATTCTCATACAGTTTAAAATGAAATAAGTTGGTTACAAAAATTAGATTCCTGAATTCTGCAAGTTAAATACCTGAGTTGTGAAGATTTAAAGAACAAGAAACTAACAAAAATAAATATTGTAAAATTGTTTCATTGATTAATCTTAACAACATTGTGCTACTAATGCAATGGAACCATCAGGTGGTGTCGAGTTAGTTAGGTGACATAGAAATCATTAGGTGGTATCGATAGGTGAGGTGACATGGAATCATCAGGTGGTATCGATAGGTGAGGTGACATGGAATCATCAGGTGGTATCAATAAGTGAGTTGACATGGAATCATCAGATTGTATCGATAGGTGAGGTGACATGGAATCATCAGGTGGTATCGATAAGTGAGGTGACATGGAATCATCAGATGGTATCGATAGGTGAGTTGACATGGAATCATCCGGTGGTATCGATAAGTGAGGTGACATGGAATCATCAGGTGGTATCGATAAGTGAAGTGACATGGAATCATCAGGTGGTATCAAAAAGTGATTCCCCTAATGTTTTATCTTTAACATTAAATTTAACTCTCACGCGTCATTAATAACATAAAGAGCAAAATCAATGTCAAATCTAATGTTTTTAAAATAGTCAGCACTAAAATGTCACGCCAATAAAAAAAAGAGGGGGGGGGAGAGAGGTCAAAATGTCAAAGCTGAAAACTACTAAACATGCTCACAAGCACAATGAGATGATAACGAAGGATTGCTGGGACTGAAAGAAACTTGAGTGCGGTATACAAAGATTTAATACCATAGTCTTTTCACCACATGGCCTCTGACCCTTTGTGTAATTTGTCATGATAACTTTCAAGCGCTTCAGCAAAGGAGGGAGAAGCCTGGACAACACAATGTGATCACTGAGTCCGATCTGACATTTCAGGACGAGTGAAAATAGTCTGAGGTAACCGGCTGTAAAACTAATAAACAAAAAATCATCAACTTATTGCCAACAAAACTATACATTTTAATGTTTGTTTAAAAAAATATACTTTTATCAGCTTGTAGTTTTTGTTTAATTCTTTGGAATAGAAAAGATTAAGCCCATTTCGAACGAGAATAAAAACGTCATTGATAACAGCTCACACGCAGCTATTGTAATGACTTGTTCTCTGTCTTGATGCCAAATTTCTTTGTTTCGCAAGATCCAATTTCGTCTGTTTATTGTCCACAAGGGTCTTTACAATTGAAGAGAAAAAGTCTCAATGAACAAGTGGATGCAGTTTGTAATTCCAGTCAGTGTAGAGACAAGAGAAAGAAAAATAGATTGACTATTGATCGACATGCGGCATTGGTCTACCACCAAGTCAATGCACCCCCTATCGTGTTCACTTTCAACTTCTATTTCTTTCAGGAATTTATGGCCTCTGGTGTAAAGGGAAGGAAGGGGTGATGTAGGGGGTAGACAACTCGTTGTCAGAATGATTATTGTAAAACATAGCAGAATGCTGGGTTATGTCATCACTTCTGACCAAGACGTTGTTAAAACGGAACAAAAGTCGCATTCATTGTCGGAAGTCCAATCTCATTGACATCAACCTGACTTAGATTGAAGTGTATCATTCCTCTCGGTTCAGCGACTCTTGTTTGGACTGTAAATACGATGATAATATCAACCGGCGGATTATCGAACTTGTCCGTGCGGTCACCGAGAGTTCGTCATAACTACAATCTCGGGTCTTTAAAAAAAAAAAATCTTAGCAAAGTGGACCTAGGGCCAAAATGTGACGGTACGAGCCAGTGGACCAGTTTGCCTTCCAGTGCAGGTCAGGAACTATTAGACCTACTTGAGACGTCAAGACCGTTTATAAAACAAATGATCAATCACGAAATGTAGGCACACATGCATTCTTCTAGTTCCTGGCCCACTGGGATCAGAAACCATGCTTCTCTTTTTCTGTTAGCAGTTCTAACAGAATTGAGTTATTTACTGTTTCCTACTGTTTTATTAACATGCGGGGAGGTGATGGATAGGGTACTTCGCTCTTTGGTCTTATTTTCCACTTGTACCATGGCGGATTCTTTTAAGTAATACAACAACAAAAACAAAACAAAAAAAACTCGGATGACAAACAGACCCAGGCGGCTGGAATCGCCCTGCTTCCTGTGCTAAACGTTTAATGGTCAAATATTTAGACATCCCGTGTAATGGGCCGGCACTAAGGCCCAAGAACAAGACGCGCTGGTATAAAAAAAAAGTTGGGCGGGGGTTGGAGAGTGTCTTTGGCCAAGGGAGTGTTGTCAAGGGAGAACACGACGAGCCAGAGAAGCAGCTTAAGACGACAATTACAAATGTATTCGTGGGCAAGGTGCTCTAACACTGGCGGACAATGGCCATGTCAGGGAGACCCGCCTAATGCATCTGACGTCTGAAATAACCTTGCTTTGGGTTTTAAGAATGCCAGCCGCTTTCCCCTCCTTTTTGTTTGGGGCTCACAAATAGACGAACGCACAGGCGGCAAACAGAATTCTTTAAGTCTCGTCAAGAAGGACCGCTCTTGACAAACAAGACTAAATAAACTGTTAATTTGAGGGGGGGGAGATGGGTTATAACAGTCTTGCAAATTAATACAATGGATTTCCTTGTGCTTATTGATAACAACATGTAGTTTTTGTTTAGGGTTAGGGTTAATACATTGAAAGTGTGCACGTATGTTGATTCATTGCATAGAATATTGGATGAAAAAAAATTCATTGGATTCAGACTAAAATTTACAAAGGGGGTATCTGAAGCAGTCAAACAGAGTTTTATTTTGGGTGGTTTCAAAGCACGCATTGAATCACGATCACACACAAGAGACAGTGGAAGAGACTTATACCCATCGTTTGTTTGTTTGTTTTTTTCTTTATAAACTTGGAATGGCCACTCAGGTTTGAGTTTCAGTGTCTCTGAGTTATGGGCTAGTTTCTGGTTAAACTATTGAGGAGGAAAGGGGAGGGAAGGAAGAGAGACGAAACGGAAAGCTTTAAAAGAAAAAAAGTTTCAATGATTTAGGTTTTGGAATCAGTGTTTACTTTAAAAACAAACAAAAAAAAAACGTTTCCGTGTTGCATTGTTTTATACATTTATAAGATTCACCAAGACGAGATGGAATCTCATAAATAAGACTGTCTACAACGGAGTGATGTGATCATGGAATCAATTTATAGCGGAGACCCAGATAAACAAGTACAAGTACCATCGTGCTGAAATAGTGCAATGTACTCCACAGCGGGAAAGAAAGAGAGACAAACAGTCAAGTTTAGAAACAAGGAAATGAGTGAGAGAACTATATAATTATTGCCTAGGGATATATAAGAAATATTTATATACAAACAGATAATAGCTGAGTTGGATTTAGAATAAAGCCATGATACGGTGTTTTTTTGTTGTTGTTTTTTTTCATTTTTGTAACATGAGTAAAGAATTAAGAAAATAAAATGCTATTTGAATTTATACAGCGAATTAAGAGCTTTATAAAATTTTGCTTTATATGTTTTCTACAGAAAATCAATTACATTTCATACATCCGAACTATGAATATATGACCAAAATCATAATACACATCAGAAAGTGTTCTCTTTCGGTTTTAGTAGGAATAAATGAGCACTAGATTGCCATAATTTCATTCTTTGAAAATCGTTTTCATGACAGGTATTACATTCCATTTACAGCGCACAATCCTGAATGTTTACTTATTATCGATGACAGAAATAAATCAACGTACCAAGAGCAGATGGTAACTAAAGGTTAGAGTATTATTTGTTTTGTGCAAGTTGATGACTTTTTTCAATAACACTTCTGATTTGTGCTAGCTTTAAGAAACGACTTCTGTTTAGTGTTTCAATGAGCAGTGTATGGGACATGCTTATCGTATAGATTGTGTTAGGAGTGCTCAAATATGAAACACAAAACAGTTTATGACATCCACACAAATAAATCTGCAGATTCTCGAACTATGTTCATATTTATTGAATATGTAAAATATCGTCCAAGCATACATTGTGATCATGGAGAAAGTAGCACAACTTCTACGGTCAGAAAACAAACATAAAACACGCTGAAAGAGAGATGGGGTCCTAAAGCAGAGCAATCTATACAGAACAGCTTTATGCTTCTAATCGAGATACACTTGGACTAAATTCTTATCAGAAAACTGTGCAAAGTTAGAATCGGAGATATTCCAACGTTGGAAGAACACAATTGCCTTAATCTTTTGAAAAGTGAACATAAAACCTACTTGAAGATCAATACAGATCTACTTATATTTAGCCAAGCCGATTTCTGTGTGTTAATTATACTAAAAGGATCTATAGTATTCGAACTTAACACTCGCGCATTAATGTATCGCAATATTTTGTAGGAACGATACCCGCACGAAAGCTTTTTTTTTTAATTAATTAGTTTATTAATTAATTAATTAATGGAATCAATTAGTCCAATGTACACATTTTTTTTCCTCAAGTTAATCCATATTTTTGTAATCAAAATCCCAAGCGCCTGTCTGTGATATTGGCCCTAAAATTTAAAAAATTTTAAAAGAGGACCACCTCGACTTGGTTAAAGCATATAGATTAATGTGTTCGTTAAGTGTGGAGGAGAAGAATTGCTCATGCATTGCTAACCATGAGGAGAAAGTACACATTTCTGATAGTATTTTATATTAGTAGTTGAGAAAAAAAAACGAATCTAGAATAATATGAAAATAAAGAGAAGTAATTAATTTAATAGCATGGGCTTGTGTGTGTTACGGTAAAGCTGCTTAGTCAAATTTTTCTTATAATAAAGACGTGGGTCAGTTTGTTAAGGTTTGACATTAATTGTAAATATTCTGGCATGACATTTATTGCGAAAACCAACTTGTGGAATGATGCTTTAAAAAACAAACCCAGCCTAAATCTAGCCAATTCTCAAAATATTTTTCTTAATTATAAAGTATTTGAAATGATGAGGGTTAGTAATTTAAACTAAACATTTTTTCTGCTGTTTTTAAATGGATAACAAGGACCCTTTCCAAAACAATCCTTTTTTACATAATAAAATACAGAAATTTAAAAAGGCTTTTGCCAAGAAAGACAGAAATAAATAGAATGTAGATTTTAAAAGATTATAACTAATCACATTACCAACTTTTCAGACATGAAATGATTATTTTGTGTTTGTAAGCAGCTTGAGTACTTTTATAATAAAAAAATATAAAAATTCACTTTTCAGACCTTGAAATCTATAGGGCAGATGATGTAATGGTTATCTGTTCTTTCTGTAGTCTATGGTTAACAAGAGTGTCATGTGGCCAGCACAACGCAACTTTTTAAAGTATTGGATGAGTATTTTTCAAAGTGCAGACTAATCCCAAACATATACTTGTCCTTCTATTTAATAAATCAATGCAGCATGGTCTACTTTAAAGAAAATCTCTGTCTCTTATTTTCATGTACTGGTATGAGATGTATTAAAGTTTACAGAAACATTCTTTCTGGGACACAGATTCATCGCAACATTGAAACTCCTTTTTTTTTTTAACTCTTGCCAACACCGTATTGTTTAGTATGCCTCCAAAATGATGAAAAGGACCCTCCTGGGGTTTTACCCTAGGAGAATGGTTATTGATTTATTTAGATGTAGGTGGGTAAACATTCATCTGAACTCTGAACTAGATATTGTCTTTATCTCAGCTATAAAAAAAAAAAATGTCTCTGTCCCAATAAGATTGAATATGTCCTTTTTTTTATAACAAAATATGTCTTTTAAATATGCCTTCCCCTTCACAGGCTCTGTGCATAAAATGAATACTATTATCAAGACTGTTTTTGGTTAACAGCAGAGGGTAAGTGGTGGTTGATTGGAAATGCAAAGTACACCCCTGATTCCATATTTACAAACGATTCTTAGATTTCTTTTCCTGTTGCTAATCTGCTCTGACTAAAGATTTTTTTTAATTGTTCAAAATTACAATACTAGACAAGATATGTTTTTTAATTAAAATATCAACTAATAATTTTTAGACATGTATATGTTGTGTCTTAGCATGCTAGGCTAACATTTAGATGATCTGAATGTAGATCTAGTTTTCTAATCTACATGTGATAGTGACTCAAAAGAATCTAGAACTAGATATATAGTTTTAGATCAATCTAGATAATTAATGACCTAGAATGTAGATCTACATCTAGATGACTACAAGTACAATATCTAGATCTACTTAATCTACACTCTACAGAACTTCATTATAAGATCCACAGAACATACTATACACTTGTGCATGTCAAGTGACACACAGATGTCAGAGCCATGTCAGTCAGTCTATTATAATATAGATCTAGAATCTAGATACATAGGCCTAATAAATATATATCTCTATTAAATAATACAGTATAGAAATTTCTAGATTCTAGATCTACATTCTATACATTTATTAATAATATTAATTAAATCTAGATTAATTATTAATACAATACCCAAGCCCAATGACAATAATTACAATATGAATGTCTAGATTTAGATCTAGTATAGATATCTAGAATCTATATATCTAGTTATAGCCTAGATGCCTAATTGGCCTAGGCCTAAAATGACCTACTATATAGATCTAGATCTTTATCTGTCTATATGTCTAGCCAATATAGATAACTGTAAATGTGATTAAGTAGATTGCTACTTTAGAAACTTTAGCTAGAATCTAGAGATTCTACTTAAGACTAGACTAGATTCTAGATCTAGAGGTAGAGAGAGTTGTACCTAATCTAGATCTAGATAGAGTTATCATAGAGTCTACATCTAGAATCTAGAGTCATAGAGACCTAAGAGACTATTAGATATAAGTTCTATTCTAGACCCTAGCACTAGATCCAAGTCCAAGTAGAATCTCTAGAGTCTAAATCTATCTAGAACTTACCTAGAATAGTATGAATCTCATATCAGTCATAGCTATTACTAAATCTATATCTATATCTAGACTCTGTCACCTAGCGCTAGTCTTAGCAGTCTTTGTAATTTTTAATTTAGTTTAAAAATTTAATAAGTCAAGTAAAGTTACAAGTAGAAAGTAGTGATCTAGATTATCAACTTGTATTGTATTTTATTTGGCAGTAGTAATTCTAGATTTAGATATATCTAGTAGAATATTATCTGGTCTAGATAAAAAAGATAGGATCTCGAATCTATATCTGTTCAACAAACTTCTTAGATTTTAGATCTACTTACTGTTGACAGTGTTGTAGAAGGATCTTACTTTTCCTGTGGAGTTACCCATTCAAATACCTCTCCGGAGTGTAACCTATATCGTAGATCTAGTCGAGTAATCGAAGCATGAAAACAAAAAAGCGATACTTTTCTTGGTTAAGCCCCCTGTTCAATGATAAAAGCACAGACCTATATATTTTCCTATGTCTATGGGTAAAATTTTAACGTTATCTCCCTTATATTATAAATTACAGATGTTCCAGAGAGTATCCAGGTGTATCTCTAGTTGTACAATGTACATGTTCCTAATTTCACCTACACTGCTAAGCCGTTAGTTGTCCTGGCTGATTCAGGCAACCCGTTCCTTGCTTTAATGGTACTAGGTTAGAAGAAGTATTTGTATGAATTACTTCTAGCATATAGAATAAGAAATGTGCCTTTAACTTTGTGCGTTTCTGAGTGTTTTATTAGGCTGTCTTTTTTTTTTGTTGTTGTTGTATATGTAAATTATACTTCAGTGTTTTATATATTATTGCTACTTTACATTGTATCTTCAAGTTTATTTATGCTACTAATGGTGTTACCATAGTCCAGTGATGCCCAACTTTATTAGTCCTGCGGACCATTTTATTTTCCTACACTTGTGTCGCGTGCCACATCAACAAAAGGAAATAGACACTAAACAATTGTATTATCTTGGGGTTGTTCACCACTCTGCCTGAGCGTGTTACGTATGGTAAGCCCCCCAAGTGTGGTCCAGAGGTGTTTGTGGTTGCGGCTCTACAATATCTTGGACTCTCTAGATTTCTGGCTTTTTTGATAAGTCATCTGGAAAGTCTTGTTGTCAAAGCTGTTAATTGCTTTCTCAGCAATTCCTGTTTATTTTATTTCTTTCCTGTTTATTTCTGTAGACCTGTTTTTTACTTTTGATTATATAAGATCATAGCTTTGTGTCTTATGAAACTATAGTTCCTAGTTTTTATTTAGATTTAAGTTGCAATCTGACTCCGTTCTGTCTTGTATCGGAGGCTCATTCTTAACTCCATTCCTCGTATCATAATAGTATTTTGAGACTTTCTCTGAGAGCTTCTTATCTTATATAATACAGACGTCCTTTAAAAAAAAGAAGATGATTACCACATGCATATTAACTAATGACATAAATTTTGCTAAGTCACTGGTTTTCCTGGCTAGCTCAGGCAACCCATTCCATGCTCTAATAGCACTAGGGAAGAAGGAGTATTTGTACACATTTGTCCTAGCATATGGAATGAGGAATGTGCCTTTATCTTTGTGTCTTTCAGAGTATTTTATTAAATTTTGTTTTTGTATCTGAAGATTATGGTTCAGTGTTTTATGTATAATTGCTACTTTACTTTTGAGTCTTCTATCCTGAAGGCTTTCTAAATTTAGTGATTTTACTAAAGGTGTTACTCTAGTCAAATGTGAATATTCGTTTGTTATGAATCTCACTGCTCTATTTTGCGTCTGTTCCAGTTTCTTAATGTTTTCTTGAGTTGAGGGGTCCCAAACGGAGGATGCATATTCTATTATTGGCCTAACCAAGGTTAAATAACATTTTAATTTTATGTTCTTATTTGATTTATAGCAATTTCTTTTAATAAATCCTAATGCTTTGTTTGATTCTTTTATAGTTTCATCAATATGTGGATTCCGTGACAGTTTTTCATTTATTATAACACCTAGGTATTTTGCGTTTTTAGTCTGTGTTACTGGTTTGCCTTTAATAAGATAAGTGGAATTAATTTGTTTTATTTTTTTGTTACTCTTAACAACTGACATTTTTCTGGGTGGAAAGACATGCTCCAATTTGATTCCCATTTCTGTAATTCATCTAATTCTCTTTGTAAAATATCTGTGTCTTGTGTTGTTTTTATTGTCCTATATATTATGCAATCGTATGCAAATAATCTGACTTTTGTTCCTGAAGTAATGCAATTTGGTAAATCATATATGTAAATTAAAAATAGTAGTGGACCCAAGACTGTTCCTTGAGGTACACCTGAGTTTACTGTTATCGGTGTTGATTTAGAGCCATTTATTATTACAGCTTGTTCTCTCCCTATCAGAAAATCTTTAATCCACTGATGCAGTGGTCCATTAATGTCAAAATATTTTAATTTTTAAGCAAACTATGGTGATGAACTTTGTCAAAAGCCTTAGAAAAATCTAGTAAGATAGCATCTATTTGTTCACTATTATCTAAACCTTTAGAAAAATCATCAATTAGTCCTATTAGTTGTGTTTCACATGTTTCTATATTTCCTAAAGCCATGTTGGTATGGTGTGAGGACATTATGTTTGTCTAAGTGGTTTATGATGTTACTACATATTATGTGTTCTAGGATTTTACATGTAATGCTGGTAAGTGATACTGGTCTGTAGTTTCCTGGGTCAGATTTTTTCTCCTTTTTTAAATGGGGGGGGGGGGTTGACATTAGCTTCTTTCCAGTCCTTTGGTACTCTGCCCTGGTTAAGCGAAGCCTAAAAGAGTATTTTGAACACTGGGGCTAGCTCATTGTTATTTGAGTAATCTAGCTGGAATACCATCAGGTCCAGACGCTTTATTTGGTTTGATGTTGGCTAATAGTTTTTGAATTCCATTTTCTTGTACTACTATATCTTCTATGTTGTCTACTTGGTTCAAAGTCAGTAATATGTCTTTGTCTCCTGGGGCTGAGAATGTTGATGCAAAGTATTTGTTAGGATGTTTGCTTTAGTTTCATTATCATTATGTATTATGTTATGTTCATCTTTTAATGGTGCTATGCCTGTTGTTTTCATTTTCTTAGACTTAATGTATGACCATAGGTTTTTGTTGTTATCTTTAGATATTACATTGTTTGTATATTCACTCTGCAGCTGTCTGCTTACTTTTTGGGTTAAGTGTTTAATTTTTATATACTTTTGTAAACTCTTTCTGCCTTAGTTTCTTTAAATTTTCTATATAGGTTTTCCTTCTGTTTACAAAGCTTCTTTAGTCTTTTTTTAAACCAGCATTTATTTATTTTGTTTGATGTGTATTTAATTGGTATATGATTTTCTTAATGCTTTTAAGATGGTTTTCAGTGAAATTTCCTTGCCTTTTCTGTAACAGACTTTCAGATCATACCACTGTAGTCTTATTAGCATCTTCTGTATTCTCATTGGTGCTTACAATAACGGTTTCTTGAAGATTTGCTCCAGAGGTTTGTGATCGTTATAAACTGTTACTTCTCTACCAAATATGTAGCAGTGAAGTTTGTTTGTACTAAACACAATTGAAAGCATTTCCTTCTCAATTTGAGCATATCTTGTTTCTGTATCTGTGAGAGCTCTTGATGCGTATGCAATTATACGACCATCCTGAAGTAATACTGCTCCCAGTCCATCTTTACTTGCATCACATTCTATCTGTACGTTCTTGTTGACATCATAATATGCCTAAGCTAGAGGTTTTGTACAACGATGTTTCAATTCTTCAAATCTCTTGTTTTGTTCATGATTCCATTGAAATTCTATATCATCTTTTAGAAGCTTTCATATTGGAGCATCTGCTTGATTTAGATTAGGAATAAATTTTGTTAGGTACTCAATTAAACCTAGAAATCTTCTGATTCCATCTTTATCTTTGTTGGATCTGGTTCTAAACCTTTCTCTGACAAGATATGGCCCATATAAGGTACTCTGTTTTGGCTTATCTTACACTTGTCATAGTTCAGCTTTAGATTGTACTCCGTTGCTCTTTGCATGACTTGTTCTAAAATGTGATCATGATGTTCAACATCTCTACCAGCTACTAGAATGTCGACTATAATGACATATGCTCCTTCAATACATTGAAGCATTTCCTCCATAATTCTTTGGTAAATTTCTGGCACTGATCTGATACCAAAAGGTAATCGTAACCATCTATATCTTCCCAGAGGTGTGTTGAAAGTTGTGAGAAAAGAAGATTCACGTTCAAGTTTTATTTGCATAAACCCTGACATCGAGAACTGAGAATATCTTTGAACCAGGAATGTTAGTGATCACATCTTCAATATTTTCATCGGGTGATGTTCCCGTCTGATTGCTTTATTGAGATCTTTTGGATCAATACATATTCTAACTTTGTCATACCTGAACGGAAACAACCATGGAGCTAACCCATTGAGTAGGTTCATGTACTGGAGTAATAAATCCATCAGCTTGCATTTCTTTATGTTTTTCTTCAACTTTATTGAGTAGCGATGCTGCTAAGCGACGTGGTGGATGGATAATTTCTCTAGCATTTTCCTGTAACTGAATCTTGTATTCTCCTGGCAGTGTTCCAGTTGTTTTAAGCATTTCAGGACATTCTCATTGTAACTCGTCTTCTGCCTTGGATTCTATGCTGTCTATCTGTTGTAGTAGTCCTAAACATTATGCTGTCACCACTCAAAATGTTCTCTTGGCTAATGTCTACTACCTCAAACTTTGCTTTCACCTCTTGGATATTATTTTTCAAAGGTAGCACCACTGCTCCTATAGTCTTAATAACATGATTAGTGTAAGACTTGAGCGACTTTGCGGAATAAGCAAGTTTTACTTTGTCTTTGAGCTTTACAAACTCTGACTTGACAATAATGTTGCACCTTGCACCAGTGTCGATACAAAAAATTAATGTCTTGCCATGTACTACTAGTTTTACAGTCCACTTGTCTTCAATGACGTTGACGTTCTCAAATTTACCCTTCTTATACCGGCTACTTGCAGTGCTAATAGGTACAATATTTTCATCACTGTGGCTGCCATTGTCACGAGTCGCTTATGTGACCTATTTCGACCAGTTTCTAGAAGCGAGTTCAAACCAGTGCAAGTGTCCAGCGTAAATAAATTAATTTTAGGTATCCAATTTAAGAAAGAGGTTAAGGGGAAAAAATAGCACACGTCAGCTTCTAGAAGGTCGTTACTAAAATAATTATCTGAGAAGATTCCATGATTCTGGAACGTACGATCAAAGAAAGTATAAATTAGGTGTAAGTCAGTTAGACGAGATCCTCGCATAGTAGTAGTTCTTGTAGAGCGATGGTCATCGCTCAGTCCTCGATTAGTAATAGTTATAAGTTTTGTGATATTAGCGGGTCCATTAAGTAAAGTTTTATTAGTTGAAGTTGAAGTTATACTAAGTGAAGTTTCATGTATCTTTAAGTTTTATTTATGAAGTATCAAGTCAAGTTGTTATTGAATTGAGAAGTCATTTTATGTGAAAGTTGAAGAAGTATTATTAAAGAAGTTTTAAGAAAATACAGAGAGATGTTTCTTTCTTCACTTCAGATGAGTTCATCAACTTATTAATACAATCCTCGGACTGTTCATCACAGTCATCTTCTACAAGATTGGCGTTGCGTCTTTTTCTGCATATTTGAAACCAGTGGTTTTTCTTTTTGCAAAAATTGGAAGTTGTTCCTATTGCGGGACATTTTCCCTTTTCGTGGTTCTTGCCGCATTTACTACATAATTTATCTAACTTGTTTTTTTACATTAGACTTCTGCTTGAGTACATTGTATGACGGTCTCTTGGTTGCTATAACTTCTTGGCCCCTAAACATTTTCACTTGGCTTTGCGACATCTCATATTGTTGTCCAATTTCTATAGCCTTGTTAAGGGTCAACTTCTGTCCCTGATCAAGTAGTCTTAATTGTACCTTTTCGTGCATGACTCCCCTAATAATCAAATGAATAAGCATATCATCTGGATTGTCATACTCACGGTCCATAATGAGAAGCTTTAGGTCTTTAACAAAGTTATCAAAACTTTCTCCTTCTTCCTGTTTTATCTGATGTGCTCTAAATCTAGACACTCTTTTATATTATGTTTTGGCCTTATATAGTCTTTTATTTTTTTTAATAGCAATTGCGGATCTCCCTCTTCACTATCAGTAATATTTAGAGTTTTGTAAACTTCTCGGCCCTGTTGACCTATCCACATTCCCAGCCATCCGGCTTTTTGTTTGCTATCGGCACCAGCTAATGGTCCTTTGAAACAAAAGCTCACCTGCTGTTGAAACCTAAAAAAACTCTTGATATAGATCTTTAGCATTCCAATTCAAGATTGGTTGCTCAAAATTAAAAGAAGCCATTATTTGATGAATAAAAACCTTTGTCTGGACAGCTTTTTAAGTTCTACTCTGACACCATGTATTAGGAACTCCATTTATTACGTAAACACAAGCAGGTGTTGCACTGACGCGCTTGTGTGCAGTGGCGTAGCATCCATGGCGGGAATGGGTTCAATGAAACCGGGCCCACAAGCAATAGGGGCCCACAGCTGTGGCCTAGCAACCATGGCGCGAAGGAGCTCATTACGCTTGGGCCCATGTCTCAAGGCCAGCTGGAGCCCACATTAGAACTTAGGAAGAACATTTGTTTGTTCATTCATTAACTCTGTTAAGAAGCTGTAAAAACATTGACTTTTAAGACACTATTACTTCTATGCAGTCCTAACTGAATCAAACGTTATGACATAATTACTTTTTTTTAAAGAAAAATGTACGATCTTTACATTGGAATTTCTTTACATTTAGTTTATTCATTTTTTGTCACACACTAAATTTGTCTTATTGGCTGGAGAGGAGCCCATCAAGATGTTCTTGAACCCGAAGTACTAGTGTGATATTTACTTGTGTAGCAGGCAGTGGTTAGGTCCTATAGTCCTCGCAGTACTGGTGTGATATTTACTTGTGTAGCAGGCCGTGGTTACGCCATATAGTCCTCGCAGTACTGGTGTAATATTTACTTGTGTAGCAGGCGGTGGTTACGTCGTATACATCAACTTAACACTAATAGTCCAATATTTAAACTACATACTTACATATTAATTCCTAATGTGTCTTAAAACGAATAGATATTAATTAATAACATCCTTTTTAATCCCGTGCTTTTAAGAATGTGCGCTTAAAATACTCTCTCTAATTCAGTCACAAGAAGCACTGGTACTTGATTTCCAACATCAATTCAGTCCAACACCAAGCCGTGTTTATGCCATCTCCCATTTAGCTCGAGCCTGTCGCACAAGTCCTGGGTTGGATCCCCATACTAAATGAAATATAGATGTTAAATGTTTTCTTGTTGGTTCAGCGAGTGCTTATTTAAATTATTTCGATAGCGGATTCCAGCGGTGGTTGATTTTGAAACCAATACGATGCCAATGCCCATACATTCTCATCGTATGACCTCAAAACCATCCATTCGAAGTTTGTTTGTTTTTTCTTTTCTAGCGGTGGTTGATTTTGAATAACTTAGCAACTTATTTTTTATAAAAAAGGTACTATCTTTACATTGGAACGTCTTTGCATTTAGATTACTCATTTTTGTCACACACTAAATTTGTCTTATTGGCTGGAGGGGGGCCCACCCAGATGTTCTTGAACCCGGGCCCACGGGTAACTTGCTACGCCACTGCTAGTGTGCAAATGTACATATAATACCAATATGTTACGGGGGGGGGGGGCGAAAAATATAGAAATAGGTTGAAATATAAATAATTAGTTTATATTATTAACATAACTAGTAAATTCGTATAAAAATTGTTTGATTTCTTTTCTAAAATTAGTTTTTTTTTATATTTTTTATTGTAGGGGAAAGGTGAGGTTTACCCCCCCCCCCTCCCCTTTTTGCTAAATGGGGGCGAGGGGTTTGAACCACGTACAACCTCTCGACATTAGGCAGTTTTCTTTCTTTGGCTATTGCTTAAAGTCTTGTAGATTTATTTCATGTTTTTTTGCTTAACATGTTTCGGATGTTTCTTCAAAGTCGAATATAGTCTACTGCTCTACTTCCTAGTCCAAACCTCCTCCAAAAAGGCTGCTTTTGTATTTAGTGATCTGTGATTTATGATGAGCCAAGTTTAACGTTGTTTTATTATTATTATTATTATTATTAAAATAAAATCACCCGGGAAAACTTACGACAGTAGAGTTGATTAGCATGCATGACTAGATTGACACATGAAATGCGCAAGACGTAATTATTTTTTAATTATTTTTTTTTAAGTAGCATCTGTAATCTTAATCTATTGGATAAGATCAGATGAGTTTTTTTTTTTAAATTATTTAACTTTTATAGTGTTA